CAGCGATCGAACTCATAGAAGAGGAGTTCTGAGTGCGATCTATAACAATATAAAATACTGAAATAATTTTTGGGGTTGTTTGCTAGATGTTCTTACAGATGGTGCAGACGAATGCAAAGTGTCAATAAACGAACCTAACCCAAACCAAAGTAATTAACCGTTTGAGTGCCATGGGTTTTTGCTGTTTCCCTGTCCATAAGTGCCAAAGAGCGCTTTTGCACTCGTTTTATTCCCCGATCACAAATGCCAAGGAGCGCCAATGCGCTGTTTTCTGCTCATATGCGATAAGTTGTAATTCTTTCAATTCAGCATTGTTCTGACATCCTTCTGAGCATAAGTAGTCACATCTGTTGCTTATAAGAATAAAGAGGTGTACACCTACGAAGTGTAATATTACTCCAATTTTATTTTAATTTACCTAAAACGGAACGGTAGCCGCGCATTGACAGAAACCGAACGTGTCGTGACTGTAGACTTGGCAGCCTAGAGCGTTGACACTTTTCGAGCGAAACAGAAGAAGCGCAAAATCGACGCTTGCCACTCAAACGATTAATTCTACTCCTCAGGATTAATGTCGAACTTTCCGCGTTCAAAATCAATTTCTATAAATATGCTTGCTTATTTATTAATTAAACGATCATCTACCGAACTGACAGGATCTACCGACGAGAGGAAGGGTTTTGAATAATTTTCATATTCTTCAACCGTCATCTCATGATAATACCGTGCACTAATGAACGCTTTATTTAGCTGACAGTAACGATTCGAAGATGGAAAATTATTCGCGGAATATCTGCGGACAAATTCCAATGATAGGCGAAAGGAAATTGCGAAAAATACCGCGAGGCAGTTAATCGTGAGATCAATTAATAATTAGCACGTTGTTAACAAGTTGAAAAATACCTTGAAGCCGAGAAACTGAAGATCGTACTATTTCGTTAGCGCTTGAGTTATTTTAACTTGAGCTAAAATAATGTAATTAAAATGAGACGAGCTGGAGTTCTTGCTCTGTACCGTGAAGCATAATTTGCTAATGAAAAAGCCTGATGCAGTTTTTGTTAACGAGCATCCAACGAGATATCTGTAACGATGCAACAGCCAGGTTAAATTATTACGAATTCAACGCACGAACGCGGCATAATTGTGCCGCAGGGATTAAACTTGAAATGCACTTATGCAGCCATTGTGTTAAATATGGATCTTTGAAGTGGTTGTTGCATACCTGTTGTGCAATCTTCTTCGATGTGGAAACGGTTGCATTTCTGTCACTTAAAGTGCAAATGTCGCGTTCTATCAGACGATAGTAATTCAGCGATTGGCAAACCATTGTTTCATAACAGCGAAAGAATTGTCATGGACGGGCAACTAATTATTCGTTTAAAGACTAGGAATTATTAATCGGAAACTTTAGATTGATATTTTCAATCGTAGAAGAAAAATATTTAACAGCAATATATATTAAAATGTATCGAAAGATAAGCTAGATGAAATAGATTTAATTAATAGATTGATATTAATTTTATTTTTTTATTATTAATTTTTTCGAAACAGAAATCAAATTTTCACACGTTACATAATTAAACTCAATTTTTCTACTTTTAATTGATCTTCGTCGTCTTGAAAGGAAAATGGCTGCGTGTTTGAAATCCTTCAGTTTTTTTAAATATAAGAAAAAGGAAAATGGAGTTTCTGAAACAAATTTCACGAAATTCCGTTTACTTTGTGCTATTTAAAACGAAATTTCGCTAAATATTCACTTATATTATTAAAATATCATTTTCCCACGATCAAAATGAAGTATGATGATATGATATGAAGGTATGATATCAAATATGTACTAATGGTTAACATAGATTTTGAATATATATGTGTTGATATAATAAAGGAGCGATGTATGTAAGAATATTTGTTGATATAATAAAGGAGCGATGTATGTAAGAAAGGTATGAGTGGGACAAGTATGCATGGGATGCCAATATCTAATGAATTCAGATTATTGTGATAAATGACTATGCGTGTAATGATCGAGGTGTTGTGTCAATTGTGTATGTTCATGTAATGTATGAAAGTAGAAAGAACAAACTAGAGAGATTGGGCATAGGTCAGTTGTAATTGAGTTGTAATACTGAAAATACATGTAAGCATGTGATTGCGAGAAATTAATTAGATTTATACTTAATATTTATATTTGATCACTTTTTGTAATTAAATAAAGAATTGTTCTTATTCTTATTGATATTTTGATATTTTGATCAAACAAAATATACCTAGATGAAAAAAAACAAAATTTGAGACGAAACTTCGCTAAATATTCATGTATATTATTAAAATATCATTTTTCCCCAAAAAATCAAAATAAGGAAAAACCAATTTCCCAGATCAAATCCCTCTATATAATCCCAAATTTCTCTCTTTTCGAAACACGAAACGTAACATTTCAAATAAAACACGTTACACTACCAAGTAGCACATACCTCTATTGACGAAGTAGAACTTTACTGCAAAACGCAAAACGGTGGTCCAGGTGTGAGAATTCGGCAGCGTGACGAGAAACAATAGATCATTACTAGATTAAGTTTGTCGAGAGGGCTGGAACGAAGCGGCAGGAGCGGATCCGCGGGAGGTTCGGGGCGGACGAGGACAAAGCGTTGGAACGAGGGTAAGAAGGAGGCAAAGAGCAGGCGGAACAGAGAGAGCAGATCTCCTGGAATCCCCTAATTTGCTATTTCGGCATT